CAATTTTCAAAACTGTTATCTAAATATTTCTCTCAAATCGAAACCTGAGATGAATATGAAATTTATAATTTCGCATTTCCCATACCAATATTTTTATCTGTATTAGATGAGGTATGAAACTGTAATACTTCGGTCGACTATATTTGCTACCTTACTCACATTTTAACATTTTCTGACAGGGAAGCTTTATATTCTGCACGTGTTTCTTATCATGAATCCAAACATTTTGTGATATTTCCAAATTAGAATTTTTGGCCTAAACCCTACAAATACCCAACAATCCATCTGCATTGCTCATGAATCCTGAACTAGTAATGAATTCTGAAAAAACTTCCCTTATTTTGCAACTTGCCTTCATTTGTGCTTAGTTTAATGAAAGCTTTTTATGGAATTTCGTTTAATTTACAGATTCGAACTATTTAGAATTTTGTGCATCGATTTTGCTCTCTTTGTAAACTTTCCTGCTAAATGTCTAATTCACCCTAATGTCTGTGCGCACCTGCAAATTGTTATATATTTTTGGCTTTGCATATTTGTTTGTGTGTAGAATTCCATTTTATTAATAATTTAATGAAATTTATTACGTTTTATTTTTTTCTTTCAATTTCTCCAAAATCATTCCAAAATTAGCCATATGATATTCATAAAACTGTATTTTTATTAATATTCACATTCAATTTTTTTGTTTGTATATTAATTTTTACATTTAATCGCCTGCACAGATAGCTGTGATTCTCATCTTTGTGAATTTATCTGTTAGCTGACGCCTTCAGTTCAGGTGTTCATTTGTGAGGGATATGAAATTGGTTTTTGCCATTGCTTATTATTCCTAATTGTTTTTCTTTTCTCCTTTTTCCAAAATCACACATTTACGATTGAACATTTCTTTGGTGAATAGAATAGAAATGCTTATTCGGAATATTTGTTTACATTTCTACGACGAATGGAATTTGAATTAAATGCCGTTGAAACTTCAAAGTATAGCAAAGTTCGAAAATGTTGTTTATCCTACATTTCAATCAATTGAAACAGTTTTGTGTGTAGCCAGTAAAAATGTTGCACATGTAATTGAATTTCATAGTTTTGTATTTTTTAGTAATGGCATCGATTTGTTTGTATTATAGTGCATCATAATATTTACGAAATATTTTTACATGAATTTCCAGTTCGATTAATAATTTACGGACATTTGAATTCGGAATAGTTCTAGGAGCGTATAAATAATTAATATAAAATTTTACATTTGAGTTTTTTTACATAAAATTTTATGAAAATATTAAATAAGGTAAATTGAACAGGGACATGAAAATACTAATTTGAATTGAAATATGGCATATGCAGAGATGGCCAATTGGGTAAAAACACCAAATTCTTTGGTAAAACAAATTCAATATTGTTTATTATTTTCGGCGCTTTAAAATGAATGTGATTTAGAGCTGTTTCAATCTAGTCCATAGTTCGGTACACCAATTCCTAAACGTATGAGTGATTGCATGAATGTCATATATTTCCTATCACTCATACGCAGTGTGTTCATACAAACACCCGGAGTCCACAGACTAGGTAAGGAATTATTTAGTTCGATCGAACAAGATTACAACAAATCTAATGCGAACAATTGTTATACCCTACACCACACAGTGGTAAGGGTATTATGTCCTTGTGCATTTGTTTGTAACATGGAGAAGGAAGCGAGATAGACCCATAGTTACTTTTGAGGATCTCCATAGAATCACTTTCTGAGTTGATTTATGCATGTCAGTCCGTCTGTCCGTCCGTCCGTCTGTCCATGTTTTCTTGTGAACAAAATGCAGGTCGCATTTATTATCCGATTGAGATTAAATTTTGCACGAATCATTTTTTTGGCCCAAGGACGAACCCTATTGAAATTGGAGATAATCAGTAAAAATTTAGATATAGCTCCCATATATCTTCGCCCGATTTGCCTTTTATTGTGAACAAAACGCGTAATATCACCCCGAATAGGAATTTTGCACATGCAACCAAATTAGGTCTGAAAATAAGTATGCCAAATTTAATCGAAATCTGTTCAGATGTAGCTATAGCTCCCATATATATTGTTCATCCAATTTGTTATTTTTGTCCTCCGCAGCCGTAATATGCACTCTGTAACAACAATATTTCGGGAAAATATATCAAATGCAGCTCAGAAATACCTTTGCTAAATTTTATCGAGATCGGTTCAGATTTGAATATAGCTCCAATATATAACTTCGTCCGATTTACATTTTATTGTACACCAAACGTCTAATATTTGTCCAAACGGGATGGAATTCGCTACTTACGACCGAATTGAGTCTAGAAGCTGGTATGTCAAATTTGGTGAAGATCGGTTCAGATATAGCTATAGCTCCCATATATATTGTTCATCCGATTTGTTACCCACATCCGTAATGTTCACTCTGTAACAACGATATTCAGGGAAATATATCAAATACAGCTCAGAAATATCTTTGCTAAATTTTATCGAGATCGGTTCCGATTTGGAAATGGGCAATAGAAGTCTGAATTTAAAAGATACAAATGCTTAGTCCTTTGAACTTTAAATTATAATAGTATTCATAGCATGTATGATTGAATTCTCCTATAAAAACTTAATTATTATGTGGAGCTCTACTAAATTAGCAAAGTGGTGTAGGGTATCATAAAGTCGGTCCCGCCCGACTTTAAGACTTTCTTTACTGGTTTTATTATATGGAAATTTGAAAACTCTAGGTAATTTCCCAGCTAGTGGACATAAACTATTTATGGAATTTTGTAATAATTTTCTATTCTATTATGTGCAGATAATGGGTTGACCTATATCCACGTTTTAGGTAAAGGTCATATAAGGTTAACAGTTACGTATCTCATATATATCAAGGAAACAATTTTTAGTCAGTTCCAAGCAAACATTAAAACGTGATTTCTTCGAAACAGGTAAAAGGCATGTTGAATCTTAAGAATAGCTCCACCGACGATATAGTTATGGAATTTTGAACTTTTTGTGTGGTTGGGCATATCTCGTCTCCGCCAATTTTGCCAATGTGATTCATTAAAAGAAATAAAATCTGGAACGTCCTCAAGAACAAATCTGTTCCCACTAAGATACAAATCGATAGGAAATATGGCCAAGTCCTTCGAAATAACCAAATTTAGGGGGTATTTTATATAAGGTTTATATACATTGTGAGATGAAAAACTACAACCATCTACAGACTGCTGTTATTTCTAAGCCACTCGTCCGACAGCTGTTAAAATTATTCCACTGACAGCACATTATATTGTTTACAAGCGTACAAAAGCATTTTGGTGAGAATTTTCTAGAAAATAATTTTTTCGTGATGGAATTCAAGCGTGATAGTGTGATTTCTTTATATTTGGCTGGGAAACAACAAGTGGCTATCGTTAGAGCACTTCAGCATTTAAATGTGAAAAAATCTCTTGTGTCTCGTATCATCGCTCGTTACCGTGATATTGGTAGAGTAGCCCGACGACAAGGAAGTGGATGGAAGAAAACAGCAACATCAGCAGAAATGGTTCGAAAAGTAAAGAAACGACTTGAACGAAACCCGCGTCACAGTGGCCGAAAAATGGCTCGTGAGCTAAACATATCGCAATATTCCATTCGGCAAATATTGGAAAATAAGCTCGGAGTAAAGCTCTTGAAATTCCAAAAAATGCAAGAACTTACACCGCAACAGAAAGAAAATAGACTCAAAAGAGCTAAATAGTTGCTTCGCTTGGCCGAAATTGGTGAACTGCCGAATTTGGTTTTCTCCGATGAGAAAACATTCGTTGTCCAGCAGTTTGTAAACAAACAAAATGATCGTATATACTTGCCAAAGAGGTCAGCTGAAAATGTGCCGGCCATGGTGTGAGCCGCCATAATAGCCGATGGTCGCTCTTCGCTCGTATTAATCGACCGTGGCATCAGAATAAATGCCTAATATTATCGTGAAAATATTCTGGAGGGTGTATTAAAGCCTTGGGCACGCAAACATTTTGGCCGCAGACCTTGGACATTCCAACAGAACTCAGCACCATCGCACTCAGCACGCGCCACCCAAGAATATTTACAAAATAAGGTTCCTCGCTTCATTTCCAGCGCACAATGGCCACCAAAATCTCCGGATATCAATCCGTTGGACTATTGTGTATGGGGAATTTTGGAAAGTAAGGTTGGCACTAAAAAATACAACTGTGTCGATTACCTCAAGTAAGCGCTTCGCCGGGAATGGACCAAAATACCGCAGAGCAACATTTGGGCAGCGTGTGACCGTTTCATTGGCCGTTAGAAGGCAGTAATTCGTGCCAAAGGTGACCATTTCGAACAAATCTAAACTTATTCTAAAATTTGATGCTGTTTCCGACATTTTTTGCTTTCATTCAATAAAATTAAAAAAAAAAATGTAATAATTATGGCGTTTGACTTAGTTGCAGTTTTTTTTATCTTAAAAGTATGGCACAAAATATAGCAGAATTTTCCGTAAATTTTAAATAGAATACTTTATTGACTATTATGTTTTTGTATACACCACTGGTATTAAACAATTTGAAAATATTCTCTTTAACAAAAGCGGTTGGAAAAACGTCTAAGCATTCTCTGGCCTAGCCTAGAGTCTAGTTTAATTGTTTTCTGTATATCTCAAGTGTCATGGCATAATTTCGTGTCTCTTTCTCTCTCTCTCTCTCTCTCTCTCTCTCTCTGTACATATCGCAGTACTCGTCTATATGTATGTACATACCTACACATGAGTACATATCATTGAAATGCAAGCAGCCTCAAGTGATTATCAAACATGTTATGGCACCTCATCGCACCAAACATGTGTACGATGCTCAACTTTACACCACTTTAGGGCTTTTAACGGCTATGTGGTGGTCATTGTTGTTATGCTCTAACACGACAGTGTTCATGGAATCGTGTTAATTTATTCAGAATATAGGCGTATGTATGTGTGTGTGTGTGTGTCTGCATGTGTGACTCTGGTACTTACCATTAAACTTCCAGATTTACTGAGATTCGTTTGCGGTATCAATTCCAAATGATTGGGCCTTTGGGGTACATTTAAGTCCGGTGTTACAGCTGCAGGTCATGATGTAGATTTAAACGAGAAAAAAGAAAGATAGAGAGACAAACATTTCGATTAGCATGTTATTTCAATCAAGTGTGTGTGTATGTATGCAAGTAATATTTGGTAATATGAGATGAATGTGAATGAACTTTGATGTTAGCATGATTTTTCTGAATCGATTTATATTAAATTTGCCGAGGCATTTGCGCCTTCTCAATTCGGGCTTATATTACCCATTTGGTGAACAATTATAACTATAAGATCGGATAAATATATATTCTCGTATGGGATCTCTATCCAAATCTGAACCATTCTCGATCAAATGTTGCAAAGGTATTTCTGAGCTGTATTTGATAAATTTACCCGAATATCGTTGTAACGGAGTGCATATTACGGCTGTGGAGAACAAGTATAACAAATTGGATGGACAACAATGTGGTAGCTATAGCTATATCTAAACCCATTTTCTAAATTTGACATACTTGTTTCTAAGGTCAATTTGGTCGTATGCGCAATATTTCATATTATTTGGGCTGATATTACACAATAAAAGGCAAATCGAATGATGATATATATGGGAGCTATATCTAAATTTTGACCTATTATCTCCAATTACAATAGGGTTCGTCCTTGGGTCAAAAAAATGACTTGTGCAAAATTGCATCTGGATCGGGCAATAAACGCGACCTGTACTTTGTTTACAAAAATACACGGACAGACGCCGGACAGACATGCATACATCGACTCAGAATGTGATTCTATGCAGATCATCAAAAGGAACTGTGGGTCTATCTCATTACCTTTTGTATAAACATTTTAAAATAACTCCTGGGGAGAATATCCCAGACAAAAAAACAAGGGAACTGATGAGGATTGGTGGCTCTTTTCGAAACCTATGGGATAAAGCTTGACTATTTTGTAACAACAAAATAGGTAAAAATATTAAAAAAATGTAGGCGTGATTGCCTCCAAAAAACTTTGCTTATCATTTGATACAGCCAAAATAGGGCGTATCAAACCCTAGGCTTTTTTGTATTTTTTGGCCGAAATCCGCTTTGGGACATTTGGACACAATGTAGCGATGACCATCTGTCTGTGCACACCATAACTTTCGAAAGAAATATCTGATTTCGTTGAAACTTGGTATATCGCAATATTTTTTTTCAAACTTAAATGGCTGATGGACAAAATCGACACATTCCTTCTAGTATCGCCTGCTCAAAATGTTCCAGACCGAACTTCGGATGCCCTCCATCATTAGGAAGAAACTGGCAAATTTAAAAAAAAAAATCCATTGAAAAGTTCTGCTAAAATCATAAAAATACCAAATATAGGGAGTTTTTGTTATATTTGGACCTATACGAAGATGAGGACCTCCATATGCAATTTTTGTCATAGGCCATTACGATACTCAACGAAAATTGAAACAATTCCGGTGAATAATATCGCTAAAATCATTAAAAAACTGAATATGGAGATGTACCGTTTTATGGGGGCTATACAGAGACCTGAATCTGCACATGAAATTTTCTGTCATATTCGGTAGAATCTATTAGAAAATGTAAATACGAATTTTGATACAATTCCGGTAAATAATGTCGCTAAAATCATCAAAATACGAAATATAGGGTGCTACCATTATATGGGGGCTACACGAAGATTTTCTGTGACAGTCGGTAGAACCTACTAGGAACATCAAATACGAATTTTGATACAATTCCGGTGAATAATATCGCTAAAACCATCCAAATACCGAATATAGGGAGGTGTCGCTATACGAAGATATGGACCTGTATGAGCACTTTTCTGCAATAGATTGTAGTACACATTAGGTACTTAAAATTCCACATTCGAAATATTTCCGATGAAAAGTGTGATACAAATCATCAAAATAGCGAATGCCTGGAGGCACAGTTATATGAGAATTATATCAAAACTTAAACCAAGGGTTACAGTTCCATGCAGGGGTGTTTTTTATATAATAGGAAAACATGGCACCAATTTACAGCTAATTTGGTTTGAAATTTTTACTTAAACACCCAAAAAAATTAAATCTGTCGGTACAGTTATATGGGGGCTATACCCAAACGGGGACCTTTATAATCCATTTTCAATACCAAAATTCCCACAGACCTAACACACAAAAATGTTAAAAACCTACTAACACACAAAAATTTTATCAACCTCCTTCATTTCGGTCGGAAGCTAGAGTGATTTGCACAGACGGAGAGACAGACAGACGGCAGGACATGGCTTAATCGACATAGAATTTTATGCTGATCAAAATATATTTACATTGCGGGGTCTAAAATTTATATTTCAAGGTGTTACGGAATAATAAACTTAATATACCCTCCATAATATGGTGGAGGATATAAAAACGAAGGGGGTTGCTTCACACATCTTAACATATGATTTAAAACTTAATCAAATTAAAAAAAAAAAAAAAAAACAATTGGACGAAATAGGCTCCCCATAAAGGGTCCAAATTTTGAATAGCTAAAAATCTTAACATTTGCGAAATAATGCAGCGATTTTATTTTACATTCGTTTATTCCCATAATTCTACCAACCATACCCCTAAAGAGAAAATTGGACTTACAGTCCCACTTTTTCTGACACCTCCCCCACAAGGCGCCAACATTTTGACAAAAAAAGAAACAAAATCTGGAACTTATCGGTCCACTCCTTCCGGGAATTCCCCCCCCCCCCCCCCCCAAAATTTAAACATTATGAATTATTACTTCCTTTAGTTAATCTATTTTTCTCAAACTTCGCTACTTAACATAGATCTCATGTTAATATAAAAACTATGAAAATGGTATATATTGGTCTACCCTTTCCGAGCCTCGCCCGTAAAAGTTCCACACTTTCCTTTGTTGAAGATTTTTGCTAAAATGATTTGATATCCACGAAAAACCCTACATATTTAGTGAAAATATTTATTGGGGAAATGCAGCGACGTGGAAAAATGATTTCCAAAAAATGAAAATACTGTGCGACGTCCGTCAAATGTGAGGGCTTTTGCTGCAATTTCCCAAAACTTGACCCCGCTACGCCCCATGTTTTTGTTCCCAAAACTGAAAAGGCACATGAAGGGCCAGGCTACGCTATGAGAAGAAAATAGTGGTTGGTGCATATTGTCAGCATTTGATTACCTCTAAGGCGATAAAAATAGAAATTTACAAATAAACATTTTCATAAAAAAAAACAATTCATAAAATTGATAGATGCCACCTATAACCAAAGATTGCTACTATTTAAATAACCCGCAGTGTGTGCCTGTTGTACTCATTCAAATATACATATTTTATTACAAAAATGTTGTTGTAATGTATATGTATCTTTTTTGTTTGACTAATGTTTGTGGTCGAAATATTTGTAGGCCCTCGACATATGAATCTCATCAAATTTGTTGTTTTATCTTTGTTGTAACAGTGACGTTGACGATGTCTTTGATTGAAAAGTGTTTGAAATTGTTGTTCTTTTTCGTTCAATTTTTTTTCATGAGATTTTGTTTGTAGCTTTTTTTTTGTTCTCTTCATGCCATTTGTAAAGCGAAAAGCGCCTTTCTTAATGTAATGCTAAAATACGACCCATTGACCACACACAACAATCACAACATTGGCCAAATGACGTCAACAACCACCTTGTACTCGTAAAAGAAATCGAAACAGAAAAGATATATCACATTTGTCGACCGATTTGGGTGATGTTGGTTTTTGTTTCTTTTTTTTTTTTCGAAAAAATAAGTCAACGGCAAGAAAAATATTTGTTGCTTAATCGTGGCTATTATCAAATGAGTTTATTTTTAGGTTATGTGTGAAAAAAAAACTGATGTTGTTGATGTCCATCATTATGAATCGAAAAAGAACACACAGGGGACCGAGAGTATCAAGGAAATATACAATGATAACTTGCCATAACTAGAGACAACAGATGTGCAATTTTCATAAGAAAATTATTTGTTGATAATTAATTTCGAATTCAGTTCTTTTGAAATTCATGGATACGAAACAGGTGGGTATGTGTAACTCAATGTAAGGATGAATATATTAGGTTATTTAAGTTGTGCATTTTTTTATGTGATATAGCAGTATTATTAAAAATAGCTCTTACGATTTTGGAGTTTTTAAACATTTAACATTAAAAAAATCCCAGTGATAGTCACACTTTTTCTAAAACGTTGACTTTAACACAAACAGATTACGTATTGCGTGTGAATATAGTATTTATAGGAAACTCCTCGATGAAGAGTTAGGTAAGTAAGATTATTGACCTTAAGAAAAATAATTGATAAATCGATGTTGAAACTGTGAAAATGTCATTAAACTTTTTTTTCAAAAGTTATGGAATTTTGTGCAGAAAATACCGAATCTGAACTTTTCTATATGAAATTTGCACCATTATATCTTAAGAACCGGTTTGAGTTTTGTACAATTTTTGGATTTTGGTCAACAAATTAGACTGAAAGTCCAGTATTCTCTTATCTGTCCTTTTATTAGTACCAGCAACTATAAAAAAAATCATAGATATAATATTCGGGATTTCACAGGAAACTTTTCAGATTGAATGGAGATATGCCAAAAGTGGATCAATAAGTCGATTATGTACTGAAACCCCTCAAAATATCAATAGATATGACCACCAAAGCACCTAAATCTTCCATATCAAAACATGGACTTCTGGCGACTATCTACTAAAAATTCCCTACAACAGAATATCCTAAAAGAAATAAGTGAAAGCGGTTTTATATTCTGTATTTCCATTCTACTTTTTTGTTTAAAGTTTGAGGCTCATAATTTTTATGAGTTAGCATGAGTTAATTCTTCAAAATGTTAACCCTATTATAGGGGAGGTACAGAAGGAGTCGGATTTGTATACATTTTGTATCTGACTTAAGTCTGATATAGATAATGTCATGTACTATGTTTGGACTACATCGACTACTTCCTTCACTTGACATGAGAAATGTGCATATATATTCCTTTTTTTTGAAAATGCTGAAATG